GTTGTCTAGCCTTACCTCCACAGTCCTGAAATGTATTTACATGTTAATCTCAACCCCAGACAGAACGCCTTTATGAGGTATAGCAACTGGCTCCCCCAAACATACTGTAATGACGTATCTGATTTGCAGTGGTGCCCCCTAAGTGCCTGGCACAGGACTTTGTGCATAATTGGTGTTTGGTTTATGTTTTAATTGGATGATTTTAGTTAACAATGTTTTCTGGACTGGAAAGATGGAGACCGGCACCCAAAAATGTCACAACAAGTGCATATCACCTGATATGAAATAAAAATTGGCTTAAAAACAGTTTGTTACCATAATGCTATTTTAAAAATGAATTTGCATAGAGAAAAGACTGAAGGACATATGGCATGACTATTAATAACATTCCTGTGAGCAATAATTATGGTTAACTTTTATCCTTTCTTTTTGATGATTTCCTTCCTTCCTTCCCTCCCTCCCTCCCTCCCTCTCTTTCGTTTCCTTCCTTCCTTCCTTCCTTCCTTCCTTCCTTCCTTCCTTCCTTCCTTCCTTCTTTCTTTCTTTCTCTCTTTCTTTCTCTTTCTTTCTTTCTTTTTTTCTCTTCCTTTCTTCCTTTCTTCCTTCCTTTCTTCCTTTCTTTTCTTTTCTTTTCTTTTCTTTTCTTTTCTTTTCTTTTCTTTTCTTTTCTTTTCTTTTCTTTTCTTTTCTTTTCTTTTCTTTTCTTTTCTTTTCTTTTCTTTTCTTTCTTTCCTTGTCTCACTCTTTCCCCTAGGCTAGAGTTCTGTGGTGTGATCTCGGCTCATTGGAAGCTCCGCCCCCCAGGTTCATGCCATTCTCTCACCTCAGCCTCCCGAGTAGCTGGGACTACAGGCACCTGCCACCATGCCCAGCTACTTTTTTGTATTTTAGTAGAGATGGGGTTTTATTGTGTTAGCCAGGATGGTCTCCATCTTCTGACCTCGTTATCTGCCCGCCTCGGCCTCCCAAAGTGCTGGAATTACAGTCATGAGCCACTGTGCCTGGCCGATTTCTACTTTCTTAAAGCTATGACAATGAACATATTTTTTTTTTTTTTTTTTGAGACGGAGTCTCGCTCTGCCGCCCAGGCTGGAGTGCAGTGGCCGGATCTCAGCTCACTGCAAGCTCCGCCTCCCGGGTTCACGCCATTCTCCTGCCTCAGCCTCCCGAGTAGCTGGGACTACAGGCGCCCGCCGCCTCGCCCGGCTAATTTTTTGCATTTTTAGTAGAGACGGGGTTTCACAGTGTTAGCCAGGATGGTCTCGATCTCCTGACCTTGTGATCTGCCCGCCTCGGCCTCCCAAAGTGCTGGGATTACAGGCGTGAGCCACCGCGCCCGGCCTTTTTTTTTTTTTTTTTTTTTTTTTTTTTTTGAGACAGAGTCTTGCTCTGTCGCCCAGGCTGGAGCGCAGTGGCCGGATCTCGGCTCACTGCAAGCTCCGCTCCCAGGTTTACGCCATTCCTGCCTCAGCTCCCGAGTAGCTGGACTACAGGCGCCCGCCACCTCGCCCGCTAGTTTTTGTATTTTTAGTAGAGACGGGTTCACTGTGTTAGCCAGGATGGTCTCAATCTCCTGACCTCGTGATCCGCCCCTCTCGGCCTCCCAAAGTGCTGGGATTACAGGCTTGAGCCACCGCGCCCGGCCATGAACATATTTTTGTAATACAATGTTAAATATAATGCCTTACAATTTTTTTTGATTATACTTGCATGTGATTTTAATTAAATGAAGCAAACAGAATGCACAATATCGAGCCCTCTGAGTTACTCCTGGTAACAGATTGAATTGAAAACAAATGCATGCCTAAATGAAGTATATTCCTAAGAAATTCTAATAGAAAAGTATATGAGCCATCTCGGATATCCAGCAGGAGGAGAATTTCAGGAGGTAATAACACTTGTCAAAGGAATAGAGTGTTGGCATCCTTTTTTTTTTTCTTTTTTGAGACAGAGTCTTGCTCTGTCACCCAAGCTGGAATGCAGTGGCGCGATCTTGGCTCACTGCAACCTCCGCCTCCTGGGTTCAAGCAATTCTCCTGCCTCAGCCTCCCAAGTAGCTGGGATTATAGGTGCCCACCACCACACCTGGCTAATTTTTTGTATTTTTAGTAGAGACGGCATTTCACCGTGTTGACCAGGCTGGTCTCAAACTCCTGACCTCAGGTGATCCATCTGCCTTGGCCTCCCAAAGTGCTGAGATTACAGGCATGAACCACCGCGCCTGGCCTGGCATCCTTTACATAACAGAGAATGAGTAGCTTTTCATTATGCCGTATGTACACAGGGGTAAGAAAAAACAAAACAGAGAAATATTCACATGGAATCTCAAATGACCTTTGTGCCAAGGAAAAGTTATTTTTATTAGGGAATCCTATGAAATACTTTTTCTCATTGTGATCCCCTGTCATCATTTGTGATAATAGCAGTATATCATGGTGAGGAAGGCCTTGGCCTTGGCATTCCACAGGCAAGTTTGAATCCTGGCTCTGTTACTCACCCTGTAACTCTCAACCAATCATTTAACTTTCCTATTGTCAGCTTCTTAATTTTTAAACTGGTAGATAATAATGCCAACTTGATATGGTTCTTGTGGGGATTGAGGTAACTCATAAAGAACATAATGCTTTTGGCATGTGATAAGCATTTGATGCACACAAGTGCGTATTGCTATTAAGGATAACAATAGGAATTGTTGGTATCATTTATTGATACCTATTATATTCAGGGAATTATTTTTATTTCCTTTATATTTTTCTTTCACTTATTCCTTAAATCAACTTTTGATATGAATGAGAAAACTTGAGCCCCACAGAGTTTACGTTAACCTGCCCAAGGTAAAGAAAGTGGTAATAAAGCTACAGCTGACATTTGGACCTATATCAATCTGATTCAGATTTTTACTCAATATTCCACAGAATTAACGTTTGACAATGTATTATTTACATAGTGATTTATTTTTGGTAATTACCGATAAAAAACTTCGACTAGCTTTTCAGCAAAACTTTATGGTAGAAAAAAATATTTATCTGACCACCAGAGGGCGCTTGACCAAAGTTCTGTAATTACACTCACCACTCAGAACCTCTCACATCGTTACATTCTACAGCGAAATAATTTGCCAGGTTCCACGTAGGTAAAACAGCAAAAGGCAGCAGTCCATACAATGAAGTAAATGTGTTTATTTTTGAAATAGAGCCTGTCTTAGGTAGTCAGACTACGGGAATACCGGAATACGGGAATCCGGGAATAGGGCAATCCCCTTTTGGACTATTTTCAGACATCCGTCCTTAGGCACACAATTTATTTAATGAATGCAATCCATTTTGATTTGTTAAAATAGCATCTGATTTAATAATTTGATGGTAACTTTCAGCTTAATCAGATTTTCATTAATTACTTGAAGGTATTTAGTTAAATACTTGAAACTTGAGGTTTATGGTAGAAGTGGCAAGTAGCCATTCATTCTGGCTACACAGTAAGCAAGGGCATCTACTTCATTGCCCCCAAAGGAACTGACCTATGTTTTGTAAAGACAGTTTGATTAAATAAAAGCAATTATGTCATCATTTAACATGCAGTTTACCAGTTGAGCACGTGTAGGGGGTATTATTTTCACTCTGTCGGTCTTGGGAATTTCTGAAGTTTATAAGTGTACAAAATCTGTTCTAGGCACTTAACTAACCTGTAGCACTTTGTGTCAATTGTAATTACAAGGACATGCACAGCCATTCCTGTATTTGAAACCTGCTTAGAATATCTGCAGTTTAAATTTGCCAATGGAGAAATCATCCTGTATTTATGTATTCTGTTAACAGAATAAATATGCAATGAGAAGGATAAATTCTTATTTATTAAGGATCTGATTATTCAGTTTTTAGATCACACGAGTTATTTTGCTCCTCATTTACTCAACAATTATGAGTTGGCACACAGTTTAATAAATACACACTGAATGGATAAATAATTAAGTGAATGAGTGCTTCTCATATGCAAGGCACAGGTCTAGTTGCTACAGGTGATGTAAAACAAAGCTTACATGGTTTCTGATCTCTAAGAAGTTTATGACATGGCTGGAAGATCAGATACAAGAAAAAACAAGTGAAATAACACAAGAGTTAAGTAACAGTAAAAGGCATCACAAGAAAGATAAGGTTAAATTCCAACTGAATGCGACGAAGAATGAGCACCATGAATCTGAAGAAGAAGTTATAGTCAGGGTAGGCCTTATGGAGGAGGTGAGAGATAAACTGGGCTTAAAATGTGAGAAGATTGGTGGAAGCAGAGGGCACTTTCAAATGGTGAAGGAAGTAGAATGAAAAAAATGGAGTGAACCAAAGCAAGGAAGATGGGAATATACAGCATGTTAGGACATGTGGAGTATGAGAAAGTATACAGGCCCAGGCTTTTCAAACTAGGGCGCTCACCTTCCTGGTGGGAGTGTTGTCCCCACAGTATAAACGGGGAGCACTCCCTCCAATGCCAGTTTCAAATGGAAAATATGAAGAAGGAATATTAAACAATTTAGCTGGCAGATAAGTTAAATGTTTAATATTAAAACAAATGTGGATGTATTATAACAGAGAGGTGATGAGATGGAAGCCCAGAAAGTTTGTGACTTGTTCAAGGTTGTGTAACTTGTTCAGAGGACGAGTCTAGTGGAAGGGAGCGCTAGGCAGGTTGTTCTCAGTCTTGAATATCATGGTCAAGTGTGTACTTCGCTTTTGCTCTACTATTATGTCCTTTTATATCATTTGACTGCTCGTTAACTTCCCTGCCAAAAGGTTGTCAGGAAAAATTATAAAAGGAATTTAAACAAACTCATCACTTTTTTCCTTCTTGTTGATAGTGCTTATATGAGGATTAAGAAAATATGATATCAAAGCTTTCAAATGAAGTTTGAAAATCATTTGTTAATTGAAATCTTTTGAGTGTTTCCTGATCCCTATTGTTAACAGAGATAATATAACTGGATATAAATAAAATGTACTGTGATGGCTAACGGGGGGACTATATGTTTTTCAGATCTGGGACACATTTGATTTTTGAGAAGAAATAGATTATTCATTTAGCAAGAAGTACCGGTTGAGTACTGCCAATACAAATACTTTTTTGGGCCTGAAAAATAGTCTTCCATCTTTAATGATGACCTGGCTGAAAAGAAAACCTTGAACCTCAGGTGGGTGGGCTGGATTTCTTTTGCAGTCATAGGGCAAAGCTCTGAAGACATTTCCAGAATATCTCATCAGCAGAATGATTTTAAGGACTGAACTAAAATCTAGAGAAAATGATTGAGAAATGTTGAGTAATTAGTCTCCAAAAGATAAGGATGAGCTTTGGCCTTAAGATTTTAAATGACTTGGGACGAGGAGCAGTGGCTCATGCCTATAATCCCAGCACTTTGGGAGGCTGAGATGGGCAGATCACCTGAGATCAGGATTCAAGACCAGCCTGGCCAACATGGTGAAACCCCGTCTCTACTAAAAACACAAAAATTAGCTGGGTGTGGTGGTGTGTGCTACTCGGGAGGCTGAGGTAGGAGAATTGCTTGAACCTGGGAGGCAGAGGTTGTAGTGAGCAGAGATTGGGTCATTGCACTCCAGCCTGAGCAACAGAGCGAGACTCCGTCTCAAAGAAAAAAAAAAAAGACATGGGACATATGGTATCCTTTGAAGTACTAATGGCACAACTTGCCTCTTAGAAGTTCTTGAAGATATGGAAGGAGAGCAAAGTGATGTGTGTTGTAGAAAACAGATGCCGCTGATTTGAATGAAGGTTCAAGGTGAGAGCTTGCCACACAAAGCAGACCCATGGACCTAGTCTACCCTATGCTAACCTGCATCCCCCACCCGCACAAACCGTAGAGGAGAGTGCCCCCACACATTCTGGCTGTTTCTCCTTGTACTGTGGGAATTTGAGCCTCCTTATCCTCACAAATGGTTCTGAAAGCCCTCAAAAGAGTGTATCACCAGTGTATTATTTTCCAATTTCTGCTGCAACAAATTACCACACTCTTAGTGGCTTAAAACCACACACACTTATCTTATATAGTTCTGGGGGCTGTAAGTCTAAAATGGGTCGGCAGAGCCATGCTGCCTTGGGAAGCTCCGTGGCAGAGCCCATTTCCTTGCCTTTTCCAGCTTCTGAAGACTGCCCACATTTCTTAGCTTGAGGCCTCTTTCTATATCTTGAAAGCCAGCAGTGCAGAATCTTTGAATCTCTCGGACCACTGCTTCTGTTGTATCTTCTCTGATTCTGACTCTCCTGCCTCCCTTTTCTAAGGACCCCGTGACTGATTGTCTTGGGTCCACCAAATAATCCAGGATAATGTCCCCATTTCAACGTCCTTAATCACATCTACAATGTCCCTTTTGCCCTGTAAGGTGATGCACTCACAGCTTCTGGGGTTTAGGACATGGGCATCTTTGGGGGATCTTCATTCCGCCTACCCCAGCCAGTGCTCTGAGAACTAGTTGTTTTGGTCACAGCAGGAGATCTGTGATTTTCTTCTTCTGATACTGGGTCACTAAATGCTGGCTTCATTTGCAGCTGGGGCCTCTTCCTCATCAGTGACAGATGCAGCAGCGGTGTCACAGATGTCTCCCAAAGGCACCGTCTCTCTGTGGATGCTGCGAGTCTCCAAGACTGAGGATGGCAACATCAGCCCTACCGCTGCCCAAGGCCACTGCTGTTTTATATTGCTGCCACCACCATCAACATAGCCACCACCATGAGGGGGACCAATAATGTCAACGGGTTTCAGCATTTTCTCCATCATCACCCTTGGGACTTGGATGTGAGTCATCCGGATAAGCTGAGAGACAGTCACCCTGCTTTGTTTTGTTAATGACCACACCTTCCCTTGAACCCTGTCCCATTAGTTTTGAACCAGCTTCTCTCTTTCCCTTTGGGATCCGTCTGTCCCAGGAGGCTCCTCTGTTCCTCCTTATACCACAGCTCTCCTTTCAGGCTCAGATATTTTGGAATCTCAGTGTAAACACAGCTGGGACTCAGGCTGCCACGTAACACATGCTTCTCTTAGGCTACCTTCCCAAGTGTTTACATTCTGTGCTGGAAGAACTTGGCTCCTTCAAGAAACTCAGGGAAAGAATCAGTACAGTTCCTAATTTTTCACACTTTCTACCTAGTCTAGGATTGAGCATCTGGATCCAATTGGAGGTCGTTTGTCGTAATTTAGCACTTCCTATTAATTTGTAAGGGATTACTATTGAAATACATAATTTAGCAACTTCAGATTTTACAAGCTATGGTGAGTGCCATACCAAATAGGATTTGACTGGATTTATTGCTGTTGAAAAGGAAATCTTTGATTTTGCTCCTCCTAGCGACTATTGATTCATTTCATACCAAAGTGTATAAAATTGGACCTATAGAAAACATTTTCTTCCCTCGTTCTGGTTGGAATAAATGTTTTCACTTCATGAAATAAACAGTGAAAGAATTTTCATGAGTATGTGTGTAGTTTTAATGAGTTTTGTTTCTCATGATGAAATGTATTAATATTTTATATGTTGTCCTCCTAGGAAATGGAGGAATATGAGCTCCTAGACTAGCTGCAGTTTGTCCAACAGGAATCAATATTCATAATGCTCAGGACAGTGGAGCCTAATTCCCAGAACCTCTGGTTGTGGAGGTTGAACTGGTCAGAGGAAGCAGACTGAGGAGGCATTGTTGCAGTAGGGAATATCCTGGCACATACCCAGCTTCTTCACCTGGGTGGCGAGGACAGAGGTTTCTGAAGACTCAGGAATGTGTGTGCAAGTCTTTAAGGAGGAGGAAAGGGGAGGAAGATGAGGGGTGGGCATGGCGGGAGGTACCTGAGAGATACAAAAACAGGATTCCAGTAGTTGGACTGTTGTCCTTCCACAGGCCTTTTCATTGATGTCCAAGAGTCATCTTTTGGTACCACTTCCTGGGGACATTTCCTCCCTCGAAAAGAGATTGATAACTGAGAATAACCCTAGCCATACTGGAATATAATTCCTGGTATCCTGAAAGTGTATTTTCACATTCAGATATACAGCTATACCCAGGTGTACCTACTCCCGTTCATTTTGGGCAATGCGCGGTAGCTGAGGCCCATGGACTGAAACAAAGACCGCTTCTGCCATCTGCTGGGCACTCTGAGGAACTCAAAGGATTTTTCCACAGGAAGAGGGGGGGAGTTTGATGAATTTCGTTTCAAATTTACTTCAGCACTTGAGAATTTAGCCAAGTATTAAACAGATTAATTTTTGCCTTTGTGAAGGCTTGCATGCCTTTGATCATTCAGTCGTTTTAATGAACTCAACGTGGTTGTTTCCGATTTGGCCTTGAAAGCCTTGGCATGTCGCCGTGCTGAGTGGGAGCCTCGCTGCCTCCAGCTTGGGTTCCTTAGTTTTGGCAGGGTTTTCCTTCCCACTGATGGAAGGTTTACAGAGGAAAAAAAAAATCATTATGTCTGAAATTCTGCCAGGACACATCAGCGTATTTCCAGGCTGCCATCTACCATGTAACTCTCTGAAGATTTTATATATATATACACATGTATATAATACATATACATGTGTGTATATATATAAATTGCAGTGCACCTGTTCCTAAGGAAAACTACCCTGTTGTAGGATCGCATGCTTTTATTAAATTAGATAATTTTAAATTTTAAATTTTAAATTGTATTTATGAGGATGTACAACTTGGGTTTCTTCCCTTAGGCTTCCTGGTCTCTGCGTTAAGTACAACTTGCCTTCAAGGTCAGCCTCCCACCCTCTCAGAGATTTAACAGGGGCTTCTGGCACTAGCTTTACCCAGCAAGCTTAGCGTAGCACTATTTGTGGTCAGATCCTGAGTGATTCAGCAGCTCTACTATCCTTAGAGTCTTGTGTCATCCCACACAAAGCCCTTTTCAGACCCAGTTTGACATTCTGATATTGTACCATGGCCCCGCAGGGTCAGGGAGTATAATGTGGTGATTCAATAGCTGTCTTGGCGCAGAAAAAGGGCATTCAGTGGTGGGTTAAAGGGCGGGCTGGCGACAAGGAGGGAGCAAGGCAGCATTCAGCAGCTTCTGCAGCTTTGCTTGGCTAGGAGCGAAACATCTCACCTCGAAAAATGGCTTCAGAGGCACATAAATTATTTTCTTTGTTACTTAGCTTTTTAGCATCAGGACCTCAGACCTGATTTGGTTGGGAGTGGGTAGACAGGAGAGGTTCCTCTCTGTGGGGTCCCTCCCTTGGTGTACTGTTTTGTGGTAAATGGGCTGAAACAGAATTCGTTGAAGTCAACTGAAGTCACTGAGAAGGTCTGCTTAAGTTTTTGAACATTACAGTTTTGGTGATATGCTTGAAAGCTAAAATCTATGATGAGCTTCTCCAAATTTTATCCTCTTGTTTTCTTTGACTGGTTTCCTTACCTGGTCCAGTTTTAAAAGCTATTTGTGTCCATGCTGGATGTCAGAATAAGAGAGCACTCAAGAGAAGTGAGATTTTGGGTTTGGTCCATGGGATATTTCATACCTACAGTAACCTTCCGTTTCAGAGCTATTTTAAAGCTGGTTCCTCACTTTGTTGAGAGCAGTTGAGAGCAAACTGATAGACGGGGATGTGAGAAATAAGTTCTCCTGGACATGATTTGCAGTCTATACATATTTACCTTTAAGAGAAAAACGAAATGACAGCCACAATTTGTCCTTTCCTGATTAACATGCCATTTCTCACTGTTTTGATAATAACAACAATACATCCCACCTCTTGCCGTGTTTCTCAGACCTGGGAAACTTCTGTTAAGTCAAACTTTCTTCCAAGTTGACTGTCCCACTCTGAGGGCAATTTGAAGGGGTGACAATGCCTAGATCATCTGAGTTTTACTAGTACTGAAATTGTGGTTATTTGCTTTGGGCAGACTGAAAGGAAATTTATCCTTGCAACATTTATGAAGATCTTATTTGCTAAGCAACTTAGTATTATCAAGGAAGGTGGGATGGTATTGTAGGGAAGTGCTTTGCTAGATAGCAGGACATTTAGGATCTGGTTTCATTCTGGCACTCACCAACTGTGTGATCCTGGCTTTGATCTTTTTAGCCTAAGTTTTCTCATCTGGAAAGTGGTTGGCATAATGATTTCTGTAGTCCTTTTAAGTTTTAGAATACTATAATCTACCGTTGCAAGAAGAAGAGTCATTTTTGAGGTATATAGATAACATTCTAATTAATCTTGTATCTTCATTTAAATAGGCTTTGAAATATTATGTGAGCAGTTAAAATATAGCCCCTATTCATCTATATAACTATTTCTCATCTACCTCTTTTTTCATTCATCTGCCTACCCACATATATAATATTCGGTTATCAAGTAGGCAGATTAAGCCTGTACTCAAGCAGTGGTACCAAAAATATTTTGGAAATAATTTGATATATGAAAAAACTTATCAAAATGGTCGTTCTGAGAAAAATTACCTTTTTAAATTTCTTTATACTGATTTTGTGGGTTAACATTGTATATATGGGAAATGGTAGTCTTGTAACCTTTTAGTTTTTAGGGCTTCTATAGGTATTTATTTATTTATTTAATTTCAATAGTTTTGGGGGAACAGGTGGTGTTTGGTTGCATGGAAAAATTCTTTAGTGGTGATTTTGAGATTTTGGTACACCTGAGCAGTGTACACTGCACCCTATTTGCAGTCTTTTATCCCTCACCCCCCTCCAACCCTTCCCCCTGAGTCCCCAAAGTCCATTATTTTATTCTTAGGTGTTTAGGTCCTCATAGTTTAGCTTCCACTTACAAATTAAAACATGTGACTTTTGGTTTTCCATTTCCGAGTTACTTCATTTAGAAGAATGGTCTCAACTCAATCCAGGTTGCTACAAATAACATTATTTCATTCCTTTTTATGGCTCAGTAATATTCCATGGTGTGTGTGTGTGTGGGTGTGTGTGTGTTTGCATATATATATCATATATATATATCACATTCTTTATCCATTTGTTGGTTGGTTTCATGTTTTTGCAATTGAGAATTGTGCTGCTATAAACATGTGCGTGCAAGTGTTTTTTTCACATAATAACTCCTTTTCTTCTGGGTAAATACCCAGTAGTGGTACTGCTGGATCAAATGGTAGTTCTACTTTTAGTTCTTTAAGGAATCCCCATACTTTTTTCCATAGTGGGTTGTACTAGTTTACATTCCCACTAGAAGTACAAGAGTGTTGCCTTTTCCCCACATCCATGCCAACATCTGTTATTTTTTTATTTTTTAAATTATGGCCATTATTGCAGGAGTAAGGTGGTATCTCATTGTGGTTTTGATTTGCATTTCTTTGATCATTAGTGATGTTGAGCATTTTCCCATATGCTTGTTGGTCATTTGCATATCTTCTTTTGAGAATTGTCTATTCATGCCCTTTGCTCACTTTTTGATGGGATTTTTTTTTCTTGCTGATTTGAGTTCCTTGTAGACTCTAGATATTAGTCCTTTGTCAGATGTCTAGTTTGCAAGTATTTTCTCCTACTCTGTGGGTTCTCTGTTTACTGTGCTGATTACTTCTTTTGCTGTACAGAAGACTTTTAGTTTAATTAGGTCCCATTTATTTATCTTTGTTTTTGTTGTGTTTGCTTTTGGGTTCTTGGTCATGAACTCTTTGCCTAAGCCAATGTCTAGAAGAGGTTTTCTGATGTTATCTTCTAGAGTTTTTATGGTATCAGGTCTTAGGTTTAACTCTTTGATATATCATGAGTTTATTTTTGTATAAGGTGAGAGATGAGGATCTAGTTTCATTCTTCTACATGTGGCTTGCCAATTATCCCAGCATCATTCGTTGAATACAGGATCCTTTCCCCACTTTATGTTTTTGTTTGTTTTGTTGAAGATCAGTTGGCTGTAAATATTTGGCTTTATTTCTGGGTTTTCTATTCTGCTCCATTGGTCTACATGCCTACTTTTATACCAGTACCATGCTGTTTTGGTGACTATATCCTTGTAGTATAGTTTGAATTTGGCTAATGTGATGCCTCCAGATTTGTTCTTTTTGCTTAGTCTTTCTTTGGCCATATGGACTTTCTCTTTTTTTTTTTTTTGGTTCCATATGAATTTTAGGATTTTTTCCTAGTTCTGTGAAGAATAATGATGGTATTTTGATGCAAATTGCATTGAATTTGTAGACTGCTGTTGGCAGTATGGCCATTTTCACAATATTGATTCTACCCATCCATGAGAATAGGATGTGTTTCCATTTGTTAGTGTCATCTATGATTTCTTTCAGCAGTGTTTTGTAGGTTTCCTTGTAGAGATCTTTTGCCTCTTTGGTTAGGTATATTCCTAAGTACTTTATTTTTCTTTGCAGCTGTTGTAAAAGGGGTTGAGTTCTTGATTTGATTCTCAGCTTGGTTGTTGTTGATGTATAGCAGTGCTACTGATTTGTGTACATTGATTTTGTATCCTGAAACTTTATTGAA